CAGCAGATAGAGAAAGAAAGAAATGAGGGACAGAAATTGATAGAGAAGGAGATATGTGTAATACCATAAAACCAGAAACAGCAACAGCAGCAGCAGCAGCAGCAGCAGCAGCAGCAGCACCACCACCACCACCACCACCACCACCAGCAGCAGCACCATCACCACCGCCACCAGCACCAGCAGCAGCAGCAGCAGCAGCAGCAGCAGTTTACATTTGAGTTGTTGAGATAGATTGTCTGCAGTTGCTGCAACTTGTAAGATTTCATCTTCATAGAACTGCTGCAGCAGCTGCAGCAGCGTCGGCGTGGCTATTGCTGCTCCCCCTTCTCCTCCTATTGCTGTGCTTTTTAGTTTATTAAATACACACAAACACAGATCCATGCTGCAGCCAGAAGCAGGGTCGACAAAAGCTCGCAAAAACTCATCCAATGATAGCAGGGGACCTGAAACACACACACAGCAGCAGCAGCAGCAGCAGCAGCAGCAGCAGCAGCAGCAGCAGCAGCAGCAGCAGGAGAAGAGGAAGGAATAGAATTTTATTAGGGGTAATATATGTGCAAACGCAGCAAACGTGGCAGCAGTAGCAGCTGCTGCTGCAGCAGCGAAACAGATAGCCGCAGCAACAACAGCAGCAGCAGCAACAACAACAGCAGCAGCAACAACAGCAGCAGCAGCAGCAGCAGCAGATACAACAGTGCATACCTGGAAGGCTGAGCTTGTCTACTATATCCTGCTTCCACCTGAACCGCTGGGATGCACCTTGTCTAGTTTGTACTTGCTGCTGCTTCTGCTGCTGCAGCTGTTGCTGCTGCTGCTGCTGCTGCTGCTGCTGCTGCTGTTGCTGCTGCTGCTGCTGCTCTCGTTGCTCCTGAGAAGATGCTTGGATTTGTTGTACGCGCCGTTGGTGTTGCTGCTGTAGCATCTGCCTCTCCATCTGCTGCTGCTGTTGCTGCTGCTGCAGCTGCTGTTGCTGATGCTGCTGCTGCAGCTGTTGCAGCTGCTGCAACTGCTGCAGCTGCTGTTGCTGCTGCTGTTCCTCTTCCTTCTCTGCAGGGGTTGTTTCCCTCGTGGCTTGATCCTGCTCCTGAGGCTGTTGCGGCATCTCTCCAGCTTCTTTATCTGCCATCTGCTGCTGCTGCTGCTGCTGCTGCTCCTGCTGCTCTTGCTGCTCTTGCTGTTGGTGGAGTTGCTGTTGCTGCTGCATCTGCAGCTGTTCTTGCTGCTCCTTCTGTTGAGAGTTCATTTTGTTATTTCCTTTTTTATTCTGTTTCGGGTTTGTGTTTTTTGTTTCTGCTGTTTTCTTTGGTTTGGTTGCTCGCTGCTGCCCCCTAGCCATGAAGGTGATATGCGTCTTTGTTTGGGGGTATTTGTGCCTTTTCTTGTGTTGTTGTGGTTTTGTTGTGGTTTTATTTGTTTTTTTTCTTCTTTTTATTTGTATTTTTGGCTGAGTTGGAGCTGAAAAAAAGGAGAAAACGACAGAAAACCAGCAGTGATCTGCGGCTGGTCGCTGGTTGCGTCGGCTGCACCTGCCTATACACCCCAGAGTCGATGCAGGTTGATGGAATTAAAGGCTTTGTTTGTTCTTTTTTTGAACGGAATAAAGGATATTTAGACAAAAACGTCTCTAAAGCTGAAAAAAAAACCTAAAAAGGTTTAATTTTTAAGGGCTAGGAGAAAGGTAGAACTGCGGTGGCGCGGCACTGCGTTCAGGTGTACAGACAGCTCGGTGTGTGAGGAAACACCACGGAATTGAGTATAAAATGTCTGAGGTATGAATACAATAGACAAATCATACAAAGTTAGAGATGGAATGCAAAAAAAAAAGCACAAAAGGACAGAAATAGTGGTGCTGCAGCCCCCTGAGCTCGGGTGTACAGACAGCTCATCGAGCCAGCAGGTAGCGACCGGTCGGTGGTTGCTGCGGTGGGTCGGCGGCGGTAGCTGCTGGGTTCAGCTTGTTTGTGTTTTCTTTTTTGGCAGAAACAAAATAAAAATATGTTTTTTTAGGTTTTTAATTCTTTTTAATCATTTTAATTCAAAAAAATA